CCAGCGCGCCGTCGCTTCGAAATTCTATTTTAACTTTGAATCATTCGAAATGCGAGAAAGAGAGAGGGAGCCCAGAGCGAATCATAGGGGCTTTTTAAATTAATGTCGTTTCTTATGTTAATTATTATTTTTCCTAGATGTCAAAGATGAATTTTTTTCGCCTCTCTTTATTTTTGCCGTTCGAGAGTAGTACTTTAATTAATTGCTAGACGACGGTCTACGATCCCTTTAATGAGGAATTAACAAATTTTATTTCTATACATATGTTTATGTACGAGTATGTTGTCATATTATTGTTTTATAGGTAGTATATATTTTAGTTAAAAACAACTATCATTTATCCAAGTTTCTTCTTATTTTTGTTTTTTAAGATTTGTTTTTTCTTCATTTTTTAATTTCATTTCATTTTTGACGTTTTTTTTTACTTTAAATTTTGTTGTTCTGTCCATGGGTAATCTTTTTTAGTTTGTTCCAAGTATTTCAATGTTTGATTTTGTGATTTAAGTTTTTACATAACTCAATTTTTTATATAAAACTAGGGTTTTAAAATCAACGGAAAAATTGAGCCGGCGAAAAAAAACCGAAAAAATTTGGAAATTTTCAGAAAAATTGACTTTTGCATTTTTTTTAAATTTTATTCTAAATTTTTCAGAAAACTGATATCGAGAAAAAAATTAATTTTTGACGCTGAATATAATCATAATATTATGATTATAATAATTATTTCTTTTATTTTAATTCTGTAAGAATATTGTACCGGGTCGCAAAAAAACATATTTGGTGCTGATTAACATTAAATGTTAATCAGCACCAAATTTTGTTTTATTTGAAACTTTAATTTATAAAATTGTAATTTTGCAATTTAACTTAAAAACATATTTGGTGCTGATTAACATTTGTTTTATTTGAAACTTTAATTTATAAAATTGTAATTTTGTAATTTAACTTTATAAACCATTAATTATTTTGTAATTGGATATTTTCAATGGGATCCTTTTTGCAAAGAGTCCCAATATATTTAACGTTTACATTTATTTTCTTAAATTAATTTAATTTAATTCAATGTTCAGTTTTTTTTTTTCTGTAAGGATATTTTTTTTAAATTAAAGATATGTTAAGTGTATATTTCCCAAAAGAATTCAATTTTCCCAAAAAATGCAATTTTTTCAAGGCCTGGGAAAAAAACGGAAAAACAGGTTTCCCCCCATTTTTCCGTTTTTTTCCCGACACTTTAAAACCCTATATTAAACATGCAATTTCTAATTTATTTTATAAATTTTTGACCATTTTATCATTTTATTTTGTATACCTACAAACATTTTTTAAAACGACTACATGACGTATTTTTTTAAATATTTTTTAAAACGTGCTATATTGCTATTTTTTTAATTGGCAATTGTAAAATTGTATTTTTTATTTGGAATTCGACGTCAAAAATTTAGGGGTTTAGATGGCAAACTCTAGGGACCCTAAATTCATAATTGGTTACATTGAGTAAAACAAAATTATTTAGTAGATTGATGCAGCACAAATTAATTATTATTATTAACTAAAATTAAGGTATTGAACAGTAGTACCAATTTTAAATATTAAAAATACCAAAGTATATAAATATATTCAGTACCAACATAACCAAATGTGTCAAATCCCAAATAAAAAACATCTTTAATATAATTTGACAATGGTCCAAATATTTTTTAAGCTCTGATCACGATTCTTATACAAATTCTTATTCTTCCTGTGGAAAAGTTTAAGTCAAAAGTGTCGAGCAATAGAGGAGGAATTCAACATAGCGTTTGGTTCTCTTACAAAACGCTTCGAACTCCGGATAACCTTGAGCCGAACGTGTAGCAGTTAAGTATAGTCGCTTAGTTTCTCGTGGCTTTGGAACTCGAGTGATCGGCCTTCATGAGAAAGACCGAACTTACTAAAGCAACTACTAACTGAATGCAGCAGAACTGTGTATAGGTACGCTGAAGATGACGTCCACAAAATGTTATAACCAAAATAGAATCCATAATTTGTATTATTATAATTGTTAATTAGTCTTACGTGATTAAATCTATATTAATTATTTTGTTATATAAAATTTATTGACTTGTAAAATATTGTTATACAACCTTGTTTAAACAGGCTGTAAAATCAAAATCAAAAACCCATTTTAATAATGCAGACTTTGTTGACGAAACAAAAAAATAATATGTGCAAGGTGACCAAACGTTGTTGCCACACCACCCTGTACGTTATAAGCTCTTGACACACTTTCGATAGCGTTCTAGTGGAAAGACGCGGAGAACATAGAACCGATGCGGGTATCTATTTCCAGTTATGCCAACTCGCAGACACTAAAAACCTTTTATTTTTATCTTAACAAAAAAAACCGTTAACAAAATGTCGAAAAACGTTTTTCGAAAGAGGACGTTGTCAAATGTGTTTAATCATCTTTAACGATAATATATTTACAGCGTTGCCATATTATCATGTTTACGTTTTGCAGTTTCATATAAAAATTTAATTTTTTGATAATTTTTAATTTTAAAAGAACTGTCACGAAAATGTATAAAATATTATATTCATACAAAACTTTTTTGCCATTTATTGCCGAATTCATCAGAAAGTCCATTGCCAAACTTAATACAATTTTCGCAAAAAAACTGTTTACAAAATGTAACTTACAGCGTTGCCAAATGGACTTTCATTTAGCCATGACATTTGACAACGCGGCGCGCTTAAGGCGACTACGTTGTTGGTTGTTGAGTTTGGAAAAATAATCGACTGCGCGGCTACGCGGATTTTAATAATAACAGCACGATATATCTCGAAGTGTAAAATTGTAGAACGCGAGCGGCTGGGCTTTTACCCGACCGTCGAGAGCGTATATATCCTAGACTGTATGCAGTGAAACTTGCCGTGATTTCTAATCTAAATGTAATACGTAATTATTGCCCGCCACAACTTTAAACAAACGGTTTTGCTTGTTCTTTTTTGTTGTTGTTATTCTTATCGTTTTATTTGAATTAAAACTTGGGATATAGGTAAATTTATTATAAATTTATTTAAATTTTCCAGTACTACTAAGGATTTTTCTCACTGTTATATATATTTTTTTATTTTAAAAATTTAAATCTTTAAACTTTCATGATTTTATTTACCCAAAACGTATTACATTTTATTATCATATTAAATAAATTTTATTATTTAGTTACATTGACTTTAAAAAATGGCGGATGCGCCGGGACCAAAATACTTTTTACATCATTTTTCTTTATCTTTTTTTATTTTTAAGATTCAAATTTAAGGTTTTACAAATGTTTTATGATATTTTGCATTTGTTATTTAAAAAAATGGCGTAGTCAGGGGGGCAACTGCCCCCCTTGGAAGGACTGAAAAAATGATTACTGGCATGGAATAGGGTTTTAAAATTTCCGGAAAAATTAAGCCAGCGAAAAAAAAAACGTTTTTTCCGTAAAAAAACGGAAAAATCGGGAAATTTTTAGAAAAATTGACGTTTGCATTTTTTTCATTTTATTTAAAGTGTAATACGAAAAAAATGCAAACGATTATAATAATTATCTCTATTAGACTGGGCCAAAAAAATCAACTATTTTTTTTTTAAAAGTATATCAAAAATATGGACAAAAAAAATTATTGTGAAAGTTTGAGTCCATAATATTAATATTAAGAGGTCTATCATCGCAATTTTAATTTTTTTTTCCTCAGCAAGTTTTTGTCTCAGAACTCCTAAACCATTGAGTTTAACAAAATTGACTCTAAAATATTTTTTTTTATATTAAATTCTCTACAAAAAAGGTTAAAGTGAAATTTTCTGTCAGATGAACCATTTCCTTAAAATCATGCCTTAAAAATTGGTATAGTTTTTCATTTTGATCTTTTAAATTGGAATTTTGTAATTCATGTAAAAATCAGTATCCATAAAAAACCGATAAATATTCTTATGGGAAATCAAATGCTTTACAAAAAAAGCCTCTTAACATTTTTGGCTAAATTCACTCAATCAAAAGTTATTCAAGGGTAAAATTTCGTTTTGACTTCAAATTTAACCTTGAATAACTTTTAATTGAGTGAATTTAGCCAAAAATGATAAAAGACTTTTTTTGTAGAGAATTTGATTTCCCATAAGAATATTTATCGTTTTTTTTTTCGGGTACTGATTTTTACATGAATTACAAAATTACAAAGTTAAAAGATCAAATTGTAAAACTATATAAATTTTTAAGGCATGATTGTAAGAAAACGGTTCAGCTAACGGGAAATTCCAATCAAACCTTTTTTGTAGAGCATTCAATTTTCTTCAAAAAATATTCTTAAGTCAAATTTGTTAAACTCAATGGTTTGGTAGTTCTGAGAAAAAAACTCGAACAGGAAAAAAAAATCTAAAATTGCGATGATAGACCTCTTAATATTAATGTTATGGACTCAAACTTTCCCCATAATTTTTTTTTGTTACCCCAAACAATATTTTCGATATAATTTACAAAAAAAATAGTCGATTTTTTTGGCCCAGTCTAATCTCTATATCTATTATTCAGTAAGAATCTTGTACCGGGTCGCAAAAAAACAAATTCGGTGCTGTATTAATATAACTATCGTTTTATTTGACACATTGATTTATAAAATTATAATTTTGTAATTTAAATTTATAATTCATTTATTATTTTCTGGACTCCCTTTTGCAAAAAGGACCCAGCCGACAGTATATTTAACGTTTACGTTTATTTTCTTAAATCAATGTTTGGCTTTATTGTTTTTTTTTCTGTAATAAATTTATTATCCTTTTTATCCTTTTCAGAAAAAAAAAACAATTTTTACAAGGCTTGCGAAAAAAACGGAAAAAACAGTTTTTTCCCCAAGTCCGGATTATTGTTCAAAATGTATATTATTTATTGTTATCAGATGTTTGGCTCATTTTTCAAAAATCCTTGTTATAAATCTAAATTAACAAATTTCCAATTAATTTTTCAAATCGTTTTCTCTTGCAGCAGCAAAATTGTGCAATGATGGGTTTGCAGGCGACGCAAGGTGTTGGTGCTCAGAAGCGAAAATCCGAGGAGGCGACGGCGCCCGGCGACCCGACGCCCGCAAAAAACGGCCGATGGGAAGCGGACGACTGTATAGCGCGGCTGCGAGCTGTGGCGGTGCCGGCGGACGCGTGGCGCGCGCCCACCCCTTCTCTAGCAGCAACTCTGCTCGATCCCGATGATGATTTCGACGAGGACGAGTTCGAAGATGAGCTGAGCGATGAAGAAAGATGCGGAGGAATGCCTCCAGAACCCGCGAGGTTTTATAGTCAACCCTCTTATGCCAACAGGTGGGTTCTACACTAGTTTCGTTATATCTCTTTTTACATTCCAAATAACAAATATCTCCACCTCACACCATTTTTGAAATATTAAGAAAATAAACTTTGTTTTGCTTATTACTCTAAAACGACATAACCCGCAAACGTCAAATTTGAAAATTTTATGAAGATAGTTAATTTTAAAAATCGACAATTTTTTTTTTGGAAAGTATATCGAAAATATTGTTTGGGGTGACAAAAAAAATTATGGTGAAAGTTTGAGTCCATAATATTAATATTAAGAGGTCTATCATCGCAATTTTAGATTTTTTTTCTGATCGAGTTTTTGTCTCAGAACTCCCAAATCATCGAGTTTAACAAAATTGACTTAAGAATATTTTTTGAAGAAAATTGAATGCTCTATAAAAAAGGTTTGATTGGAATTTCCGGTCAGATGAACCCTTTTCTTACAATCATGCCTTAAAAATTGGTATGGTTTTACAATTTGATCTTTTAACTTTGGAATTTTGTAATTCAAGTAAAAAGTACCCTGAAAAAAAAAACGATAAATATTCTTATGGGAAATCAAATGCTCTACAAAAAAGTATTTTATCATTTTAGGCTAAATTCACTCCATCAAAAGTTATTTAAGGTTAAATTTGAAGTCAAAACGAAATTTTAACCTTGAATAACTTTTGATTGAGTGAATTTAGCCAAAAATAGTAAGAGGCTTTTTTTGTAAAGCATTTAATTTTCCATAAGAATAATTATCGGTTTTTTATGGGTACTGATTTTTACATGAATTACAAAATTCCAATTTAAAAGATCAAAATGTAAAACTATACCAATTTTTAAGGCATGATTTAAAGGAAACGGTTCATCTGACGGAAAATTTTACTTTAACATTTTTTGTAGAGCATTTAATTTTCTTAAAAAAATATTCCCAAGTCAATGTTATTAAACTCAATGGTTTGGGAGTTCTGAGCCTAAAACTTGCTGAGGAAAAAAAATTAAAATTGCGATGATAGACCTCTTAATATTAATATTATGGACTCAAACTTTCACAATATTTTTTTTTGTCACCACAAACCATATTTTCGATATACTTTTCAAAAAAAATAGTTGATTTTTTTGGCCCAGTCTAATCTACATAAAACAAAAAAATGCGTACAGTCAAAAACAATTGTTTCGTCGAAAACTCCAAAACGGCATACCCTACCAGCCTTTCTTTATATCATAAAATCTATTTAAAAAGGGATTAAACAAATTTTGGGAGAATGAAGATATAAAATATCTCTTTTAACATTTTTGAAATATTAACAAAATAAACTTTGTTTCGCTTATAACTCTAAAACGACATAACCCACAAACGTCAAATTTGAAAAATTTATGAAGATAGTTAATTTTAACAAGTTAATCAAATTTAAATTTTTCATCCTTTAAGTTATCTACAGAAAAGAAAAAAAATGTGTACTCAAAAACAATTGTTTTGTCGATAACTCCAAAACGAGATACCCTACCAGCCTTAAATTAGAAACACTAATAAACGATACTATCTTTAACCTTTGTACCAAATTTTACTTTACTATCATTAAAACTGCAAAAGTTATAAATAAAAAACTAAACTCTATTTTTTAAATTTCAGGTACCAATCTTCGACGGACTACTGGCAGTACTACCAACCCCCGCAGCAGCAAACGATACGTTGCGAGGAAAACGGAAAATCGTACTTGGAATTGGGCGCGTCGCCGCCGGTGCGGACGCGATGTTGCGACGGCAGGACGCGGTGGTGCCACGTGCCTTGTTACCGCCAACGCCGATTGGCGGTGTTGAATTTGTCGATGTGCAAGCTGGCGCGCTACAGGCAGTGCAGCGACCCGTCGCTGAGGCGGTCCGTGCTCATTTGCAATACGCTTAGAAGGTAAAAACCTTTTTCTATCGTAACGATAATAATAATAACAATAATAAGCATAGAAGAATGAATAAATCACTTACCTTAGAATAAAATGTCATGGCTGGGTTATAATCAGTACAAGAATGTTGCTGTAGTTCCCCTACTAGAAACCACACTTCTAAAAAAAATAAAAAATAGTCAAAATGCAACGTTGCCATGTTTTTGATAAGTCAGATTTAAGGTGATCTTTATCATCAGCACTTTTTTAATAAAAAAAATCATTTATTAAAAAAATGTATTACATTATCCAAAGCTAAAATTAAGTTAATTATTCCATTGACATTTAAGTGTCAAAAGTAGGTAATTTTTGACAGTGCAAAAAAGTATTTATTTGCAATTCTATTTTTGCACTGCAATTAAATCAGCACATAAAAATAACTAAATTAAATTATTCAAGAAAACAATTAATTTAATTTTTATTATTATTATTATTAATTCACATGAGGGCGTAAATAAATTATAAAAAATTTTGGCATAGGTATCGCTAGTGGCGCCATCATCTTAACAAAACTACATATTTTAATAAGCGAGTGGTTTTTGAGAAACAGGCCGGAAAATGTTAAAAATATCGAGAAAAAAACTGGAAAGATTTGTTGTGTTGCTTTAAATAGAAAATCGGGGGTTGAATTTTTACCGGTTTCCCAATAAACATTGAGAATCCTAATGCAGAAATAAATTACATACAGTCTCTGTAAATATCAACTAATACAATAAATACACATTTTATTAATGATATAAGTGACAATTATAAACATTTAAATTCAGTAAAAATCATAAAACAAATAATTCGTCTAAATGCAAACAGCATTATGAATTATTAAAATCGTTGACGGTAAAAGACCAAAAACGGGTATTCTTTATGTATTATATATAAAATTATGCCATGAATTCGCAGATATATTTTGTCTTTTACTATTTCAAAATGCAGTTGGCGTTTTTTTAGAAGACTAAAATATAAAAATGTTTAATTTTAAGGTTATGTTTGTTTAATTATTATTTTGTGTGCAAATGTACAAACTTAAAAATAAATTATACCTAATAGGTAAAGTTATCATTAGTTAATTCTGCACCAGCAAATATACAGTGTGACCCATTTGTTTGCGACTCCCCCCTGTAAAATCTTTATTTATTGTGCGATTTTAACCGGATTTGTTTTAAAGTGTAGATCTTGATAAACTGTATTTTTTTAAACAGACTGGATTCACCACCCCTGAAAACTATCCTATACTAAATTTTATTGAAAAATTTTAAGAAAAAAAATGCACAAAAATAACTACAAAAATTTATTTTGTCAAGTTATTCATGAAAAAAACATTGAAATAAAATTAAACTAATATTAACATGGTACTATATAGTAATATTACTAAAAGTTTAATTTTATTTCAATGTTTTTTCATGGATAACTTGACAAAATAAATTTTTGTAGTTATTATTCTGCATTTTTTTTCTTAAAATTTTTTAATAAAATTTAGTTAGGGTACTTTTGAGTGTTAGTGAATCCAGTGCCGTGCTTAGATTTTGTTTAAAAAAATCGCTAATATAAATTCTTAAAAATTTACTCTTAAAAACTGACATAGTAGGCCTTGTATTTTGTATTTATATGGCGTCTTTTGCTCCAAAAATACAGTTTATCAAGAGCTACCGTTTAAAACAAATCCGGTTAAAATCGCACAATAAATAAAGATTTTACAGGGGTGAGTCGCAAACAAATGGGTCACACCGTATGTACCGAATTGGATCCTTTGGCAAAACACGAGGCAAAACATGAAAATGCAACTTCAGATTAGTTCTTGAAATACATTTATAATTAAAAACACAATAATTCACTACGATCACTTGGATAAAATACACACACAAACGTAACCATATAAGCATATAAAGAATAATAAATCGAAATTAATTACTTAAACCAAGCAAAGTTTTTCAGTCTCTACTTGCAACGCGAAACACAAATAACGTGCGCGGTTAAGCTGTGCAATTTCAACTTTGTGAGTAAAATAAGAACTTCTGCCTTTCTCTCTTTTGTGAAAAAACTACTTATTAATTAAAAAATGATTTTTAGTTTGTATGCTTTAAATGTAATAATGACAAACCTTGCCAACAGATGGCGCGGGCGTTGCGAAAACCCGATGCTTATTTTAGGAAAAACTAATTTATTGTGTCTGTTAGTATACACGTACAAATTAAATGGACGTTTCCCGTAAAACGCAACGTTGTTAAATTTAACAGTGTTGTCAAATTTACAACAATGTTGCCAAATTTACAATTTTTAAAAAACACGAATTTAACAATTTTTTTAATGTTTTGCAGGTTAGAGAGGGAGATGGAGAGCGAGCCGCCGGAGCCGACGTACCCGTTGCCGGAGATGGCGCCCCCTAGCCGAGTGAACCAGGTGGTGAGCGAGCCGAGCTACGAGCAGAGCCTGCGCGACATGACGTGCGCGTCGGGTCGGGCGACGCCGTTCCCGATGACCGGATCGGACAACGATTCCGGCTTGGGCGACGACGAGACGACGCGGCCGATCAATTGGGGTTCCGTGTTGAGTTTGAGTTCGCAAACGGACCTCGAGTCCCTCAATAACAATGAACTGTACGCAGAGTTGGGATTGAGCGGTGTCAGTGGCGACGAGTGGAAAGAACCGACAACGTCGCAACGAACGGTTAGCGACCACCAAAGTGATTGGGACGGGTTCGTGCACCAGGTGCTGGTCGGCGGCACGTAGCAATAAATCTAAAGGGACTAAACTAAAAAATCGACCTTAATCCGGCAACCCGGTCTAGTGCAATATTTTTAAAATGCGAAATTAAAGAAATATGGTGATTTAAACGAGCTAAAGAAAAATGATATCGGACTAACAACTGATTTTACGAAAAAAACTACAAAAATCTTGTTTTGTAATGAATCTTATTCTCCATTTTTTTTATTTTAACCATTTTAACTGGCTGAATAGTAAGAACACAGTAGGTAATTGGCAAAAACCTGATTTTTGGTCCCGCAAATTTGGAAAAATAGTAAACAATTAGTCGCTTCAAAGTTATTACCTTCTTTGTTATTTTTAACTACAAAATATTATTTAATAATATTTAAGTAGGGCGATAGGGTTAAGGTTACCTATATTATGAAAGTAAAAGTTATAGAATAATAAATACCACAGAAACTTGTAACTAGGGCGACGAATAAAAAAAAATCCAAAAAATAAATAATAATAAAACATAGTCATTCTTTCCTAAAACTTAAAAACGAAAATTTCCTTTGGCTAGTGTAAAACATCATATTTCTTTGATTGAAAACATTTTTAAACTGACTGCAGTATATTGGGTGCTGGGTGATGGTCTAAAAGGTTTAACTTTACTCAGGTTGTGATCTTGCTAGCGCTCTGCCCTGCCCCAGAAATGCAAAAGAGGCCGTCACCGTAAATTATTTAGACCGATTGTGTCATACTTAATGCTTTAAATTAATGATGGGTTAGTGGCGGCCTCTGGCGGCAGGCTGCGCAGTAATTTAGATAAAAGACAGTACAGGAATTGTGCAGCTACATGGATTTTTTTGTACGACGATTTTTTTTCTGTTCTGGACTGAGGTACTTATATTTGCGGGTTCTACGTTAAATTACATATTACTTATTGCGCAACAATATGATCTCCAGAAGCTCAAAATTCATAGCATAGATCCAAAACATTTTTTATTTTTTTTTACACTAGAAAACATTACAAAAATTCGTATTTTGAAAAAATAGACTGAGAAAAATCGTCCTAATTTATTTTAGTTTTTGAAAATCGTCTATGCTATGAAAGCTCAATAGTTTTTATTGCATTGATTTAACAACACGTCGGTGAAATTTAAAAAAAGCGGTTGCCTTGGTGATAATACATATTTTGTTTAAGTGGCAACCGCGGTTTTCAAATCTGATTGAAACATAATAAAGGTTCAGTTAATTTTGTAATTTAATTGATATTATTTTTTTGGTGTTATAGACCCAAAAGTTAATTTTTTGGGCATTCCTGTGTATATAATCGCTGTGTAATATATAAATTGTATATAAGAGAAATTATTCTAATTAGGTTTATATTTGTACATATTATGTTATATTGCATATATTTTAAAAATGTGTGAATTTATTATTAAAAAATCGGCTATGGTTATACACGAATACAAAAAATGCGCTCCCAATTACTCAAAACATCGCTCAAATATTACTTCACGTAATTTTAGTAGCAATTAAAGTACTCACATTATCAAATACTCAATACTATTGTTACCAAACAAATAGAAAACATCAAGTTTCTTAAAAAAAACAAAAGATAATTGGGAGCAAAGAATCTAGTCTGAGAATTATCAATTGTTTTTAAAGAGGTTTCCCTCAGTATTAACAAAAAAAAACAAATTTAACAACTTAAAAAAACAAACTTAATTCTTAAAAACCGTCCCTGAAACCTTCTTAAAAATGATAATAATAAAATTTTGTAGGTGTAAAAACCATGTTAATTATAGGTAGCAAATTAAAAAACATCATTATCACAACATACAGTTGGTTACATAACAATTCGGACAAAATGTCTCATTCTTTTCTGCCCAACTGTATGAAATTGTCAAGGTGAATGCAATTCTTGCCATGACAAATTATTTCAATACTTTAATTAATTTTTATGTCTGATGTGTAAAATATTGTCTTTAAGTTGCTATATTAGCAATTTTTAGATGACATATCAGATAACTCAACTTTGCGTTTTAACTTTTCTTTTTATTTTGTTTAGTTCCTATAATGCAGGGTGGTTTTTATTTTTGGAATAAGGCAGCTTGTTAATATGAATTTGGGCCACCCTGTATGCTATTTATGTTAATTTATTAATTTGTCTTAAAATTTTAAAGAGGGTAGTTTGAACGCAAAGCCAATTACTGTAAAAATATTCATTCAGTTTTATTTTTTTATTGAAAGATTTTAACAAATAATAATACTATAAGGGCACAATTAAAAAAACTGTTATATCTAAAAAATGTAATATTGAAATAAGATAATGTTGTGGTACGAATAATTTTATAAGTTGTTAAAATTGCAATTTTAATCCACATATTAAAAAAATTAAAGAATTTATAAGAAAATTAAAATGGCAATCAGTTTTTACAAAAAATGAAGAGATAAGCTGTGTTTTTAATTCTAAAACTTGTATGCACAGAATTTTAAAAGATATTTTGATAAAGTTGCAATAAAAAGATTTTTAATCAATCTGTATAAAGCCAAAACATCCTTCCACCCCAAATATTATCATAAAATACAATTCCAAAACACACAACGATGAAACTTTAAAAAACTTGATAATTCTTGAATAAGGGATGTTTTTGCTTAAAGTAATTAATAAGGAATTACTCTCGTCCTACATCGACGTATTGTCAATAATAAAATTACGTACAACACATAATGATTGTGTGCAAGTAAAAACGTGATATCATGTAATATTATGTTAGTGTTAACAAAATAAATCGGTATATATACATATTACCTCATTTATTGTTTTATATTTTTATGTTTTAATATAATATCAAATAAGCAATCGACTTTATTTGAAATCTTTTAGTTTTTACCCAACAAATTTCCAATAAGAACATCAAAATTCTAAATACAACAGGTAAGACAAAATACTTACATTTTTACTTTAAGAATACAGAATAACCACATAACTAAACAGGAATTAAAACACCTTTAAAAAAACTTCTGAACAATATTAAGAATTTCTTGTTATTAACAAGTTTTTAAGAAATACTCAAAAATAAATACAAAGTTGGTGTATGTGGCGCCATCTATCCTTTCATAAACAAACTAATGACAGGAAATTGCAATATCAATTTTAATAAAAATAATTAAAACATAATTGTTTTATTACAAATACAATTATTTGCCATAAAATTTCCTAAATTTGACAAATTTTAAACCATAAAATAATTAATAACATTAATTTGCTTGATTCGCAAGATAATTTTCTAGAAATCTGTCAACATCGTTTCACGTTTGACAACATAACCTTACTGTTTAACGTGTGTAAACCACATATTTATGTGGTGTGGTGTAAACATTCTCTTTAACTTTAACGTTATTTTGATGTTATTTAAACAAATAAACCATGGCAAAGGGTAAACTTAAGTATAGAGATGTCGTAAAAATACCTGGTGGTGGTAAAGGCAAACCACGTAAAGGTTCGAAAGGAAATAAAAATCCAAAAGGACAAAAAGGTAAATTTTCAAAACCAAGGAAGACTTACAGCTTGTATAAAAACGAAAACCAGGGACAAAAACGGAAGTTCAATAGACGAGATGATATAGATGACTTAGATGAGCCTAAAAAGCTGAAGATTAAAGAAAAAGAGCCTGAGAGTTCATCAGAAAGTGAAAATGAGCAAGTTGATGCTATGAAGCAGTTACGACAAACTTTTGGGGGGGTTAAAAGTTCAAAATCTGCTGCCATTGATAGCAGTGAAGATAGTGACATGAAAGATGAACAAGATGAGGAAATTGAAGAGGAAGAAGACTTATCAGATGAAGAAGATGTTGATACTGATAACTCAGATATAGAAAAAGAAAACTTAAAAAGCAAAGATTTAGGATCAGAAGTTGAAGAGGAAGAAAAAGATGAGATAGAAGAAAAGGAAGAGGAACCAGATGAAATAGAAATTGACCCTGAAACCCAAAAAGAAGATGATGATATTGATAATTCGGCAGATCCATTTGTAAGGCACTTATTCTTTGACTTGAATGAAAATTTATTGAATTCTTTAGAGCAAACAAAAATACCTTATGATCATCATAATTTTAATTGGCCTAAGTTGGGTAATTTACAACTTCAACTGCCAAAATGTGAGAAAATACCTAAACAAAAAATTGAGGAAAATAGTATTCTTGAAAAACAAATATTCGCGCCATTAGGGGAAAAACCGGTTTTGATTAAAAATCAAACGCCTTCAAAAATGTTTATAAAATCACAAATATTACCTAATTTGGCAAAATCAAATAAGGCTCTATTCAATAAACATAAAATTTTAACAGATTTACAAAAAGAGTTATTTTCTGTTATAAATAATTATCAAGACTTGTTCTTTCCTGGAAGAACATTTGATAATGCTGAAGAATTAAGGTATATTTATTCATTACATGCTGTTAATCATATTTTAAAAACAAGAATAAAAGTTATACACCACAATGCTCGATTATCAGCTAAAAAAAGTGATGTTCCAGATGAATTTAGGGATCAGGGCTTAGTCAGGCCAAAGGTAAAAATAAGCAACTAAAAATATAAAAAAATAAAAATATATTTTTTTTAGATTCTTATTATTCTTCCTTTCAAAGATGCTGCTTACAAAGTAATTTGTAACATAATAGATATTTTGTTGCCAGAAAATAAAGGAAATGTCATGAACAAGTTGAGGTTTGTTGAGGATTATACTGGTAATGAGTTAATAATGCCCAAAAAAAATCCAAAACCTGAAGATTATGAAACAACTTTTACTGGTAATACAAGTGATGATTTTAAAATTGGTATTACTGTTACTAAAAAAAGTTTAAAGGTAAGTTTTTTATAAAAACTTTTTATAAATAAAATTTTTTAAATTGTGTGCATAATCTTAAAGAATTATTTTATTACATTTTTAGAGCTATGTACTGTATGTACTGCAATCTTCCCAAGCTATCTAAAATGTTCCAAATATTCTGAATATATTCATATACATATGTACATACATACAGGGTGTCCCAGAACTCGCGCCACAGAGAAAAAGGGGGCGTGCCGATAGCAATGGAGATGCCAAATTTAAACATAAAAAATTTCTAGGTAATAGTGTAATCGAATGAGAGTAAAAAAGCGGCAGCCAATACCGAGAGCTCTCGCCTATAGGCGAGAGCTCTTACGTTTAACCTATAGGTTAAACGTAAGAGCTTTAAAAATTGCTAGGAGACGATAGAACATTGTTGTATTAAAAACATTTAAAAATCTTTTGGCCAACTGTATTTACTAAGTTGTCAAAAGCTTTCAAAAATGAGGTTATTAATCTATTACTTATACTTCAGAACGCAATGTTTTAAAATAACGATTAGGAAAGGGCTGGGAAAAAACTCGCGTTGTCTCCCTGGCGTTGCGCCCACACTAAATAAATAAATAATTATCATTTCAGTATAATCATCTAAGGAAAACATTATTTTTAATAACTTAATTTATAACCTAATATAATATTAATGACAGGAGTTTGACAGCAGTGTCACAATGAATTGGATTCCAGTGCACAGTGTGTGAAATTAATGATCTAGCTAGACAAAACCTTAATGACATAAAAAATTATAAATTTTCTCTGTAAACGGGGAATTTGGGTTCACTGAATCCAAATCTGACATCCAAAATGCAGAAATTAAATTCGTTCATTACGAAATGGCCGGCGCATTGCAATAAAAAACAAACTTTCGGTTTCGTCGAAAATTGGTCAACTTTCGTTTTTTCAAAGAAACACCCTGTATATTTTTGTATATTTGAAATCTGGAGAAAATTTTACACTTTACATTCGCTACCATTTTGCAATTGACCTTAAAGTTTTATTTTTTAATCCAGGAAGCTGCAATTTGAAGAATCAATTATTTTTACCATCCAAATTTGCAATTAAATGCATAAATAGTAAATGTTGCAGATCAATTGTTTTTTTTTTAATTAACTCAACTTTTTTAAATACCATACAAATGTTTTTAAAAATCCATATGTTTTTCTCAATCAAAACTCACCAATGTCATAAAAAGTTGTTTAGTGTTTTCCACTAAAATTACACTTATGAAAAACTTAAATTACAACAAAAATTAAGATCATTTTAAAAATCCCGCGATAGTGTAAGTATTGAATTCAAAATTTTCTCCTAATTTGAAATATACAAAAATATGCAGAGTATTTTATTGAGAAAACGAAAGTTGGCATTATTTCCGGGGAAACCGGATACCGGGTGGTAACCATTGAAGGTTGAAATAATTATAAATTAACTCTTTATTATTACTCCCAAATTTCAACTCTATTCCAAAATTTACTAGTGGAGAAGGAGTGCGTCGGTTTTTGGTTACACCCTGTAGAACAGGCAAATTGGGGCAATAAATAAAGGCACATCAGTAATCTGTAGACGTTATAAAACAAAACAAATATTGATAGTGCACCCGATATTCCTCGATTACCATACTTCTTGCTTAATAAATATTGTCCATATTTAATAACACCAAGTGAATTTCTATATCTATAGCCTGTTGCTGATTATTGATATTATAAATCCCTAATAATAAAAAATAAGTAATATATACCTAGATCCATAGCTGCACAGTTCAAAATTTGATTTAACTTGACACAATGTCAAAATCAAACCACCTTTTTGCAACGCATACACGGCTAAGTATTTTTATAAAAAATGATACGCCCGGAACTGGCGCCTGCATAGTGCTAAATACACTGTTGCAGTACGCTCTAAGTAATGGAAATCATAACAGGGAGAACTGAAGAAGCTTATTTAATAAAATTTGTCTTTATTTCAGGTTGTTTTTAAATTAGGTTTTGTCTAGCTAGATAATTAATTTAACACACTGTGCAGTGGACCAAATATTTTACATATTTTTTATTATCAACAATGCAACCTAAGTATCCTAGCAATTTAAAGAATTCCCTATGGCCATCTATTGGGATTGGCTATCGTTTTTTATTCTTATCTCTCTTATCCTTTGCGTTAGACAATTTTAATTTTCAAATATGTGTTTCACGTTACTTTCGGAACGTTCCGGTTTTCTATGTGGCGCGAGTTCTGGGACACCCTGTATATTTAGAGCATTTCATGCATTTTATGATCTAAAAATATCTAAAAATTCCCTAAAAGTCTATAAACTCTAAAACTTTCTACTTTCTTCTAAAATTGTCCAAAAGTTATCTAAACACGACCTCAAAACTGTCTTAGAACATTCTAACATCTAAATATGTTTCCAAAGGCCAGAATTCAAAAAAGCCATTTGTTTAAAAAATTAGCATAAAATTTTTTTTCCAAATTATATTTCAGGAGATATATCAATAAATATCGATTTTTTTAGTCCTAAAGTTACAAAAAATCATAAGTCATAAATCAAAAAATGCATGTAATTTTTTCTTGTATTGTAAAAGACAAAACAAATATTCCAGGCAAATTAAAATTTTTACTGAAAGTTTGACGTTATATAATAATATATATAATAATACAAATATAATATTATAATTTGTAAAATTAACTCTGAAAATGTCCTACATTTATTATTCCTTTGCTTCCTTTGTCCTTGTAGGGGGAGGGATGGTGTTTGTTAAATGACCGTCACGATTTGTCACGCCCGAGGGCGTTACGTGACAAAGTAAATCAAATAAAATTGCTTATTTGTTCAATTTTTACTCAGATTATTATATCAAATACAAAAAAGAATGGGGGAGGGAGGATTTTAAATTTAAAAAAATTTATTTTAATATTTTTCCAATTTTTGAAAGTTGTGTGTTGTGTAAATTTTGAACTTGTCGAGTAATTGGTTGTCCCCAATAATTATCTTCCTTACAAAATATATTTGGGTTATTCTCAAAATAACAACAATCTTTGCGTGACGTGTGTTTTTTTCTCCCATATTAAAAAAAATGGTAAAAATAAGTAACATTTTTAAAGTACACAACGTTAACTAACAGTACTTTAAGTAAAAAAAAAATAAGAAAAAAAAATACCGCCCAAAAAACTGATTTGAATAGAGATATTGTCCTTTCCGTGGAACGTGACTATATCGTGTTGGTAAGTTTCAGTTAATGTAGTGAAAAGCCTGCATATTAAAAAAACCTAAAAAATTGCCATTATTATTAAATACCCCAAAAATACATAGATATGGTTCATATTCCTTTTTATTCTTTTTAATTTAATATTGTAGTTAAGTCATTTATACGTTACCAGTTTCGATCCATTCCGAGGACTTATTTGTAAGTGCAAAATTTCAAAAGTATTTCGCGCCACTCACGTCAACCGTTAATTTTATGTCATTAAAAAACCTGTCATTTGTTATTTAAGTCGCCCTTGTCAGTTCTTTTTTGAAAGGTTGTAAAGAAGCGTTCATGTTTATGTACGAGGCTCCAGTGTAGAAGCATAGGCTGTCCTTTCTGTTACAATTATATTTCAAACAGTAAGTATTGAATTATTTTCTAATTATTGTCATTATTATTGTCAAAGTTTTTATTTTTGGCACATGACAAATGCGAAGGCATAACCTAAAATTTACCTTTCTTATAGAGAATAATATACATAGATGTCCATTCAGTGGACGTCTTTTCTGTGGACATAATTTACCCATAAATAGAAAAATTAAGGTTTGCATGCAATATCAATCTTATTTTAGTTTAGGATTTAACTAAAGCTTTACAAAAATGCTTTTGTAATAATATTACCAAACTTTTTAGTATTAAAAAAATAATAAACCGAAAGTGTAGTTATTTTGAGAATCACCCATTTAATAACCAAATTTGATCAAACAATATACAAGATAATATTATATATATATTTTAAACCTGCAAAAACAAATTTAAAAAATTAAAAGTATTTAATTTTTTTTCTTTTAAACTCAAATAATCATTCGCATGTCTAGTCCCCAGCATGTCTGAGAAATTTGAATTGATGAAGTTACCCATTCCTTGATCAAAATTATACTTAATATGTTTTGCATTCATAAAAGAGTCAAATTTTGTCAAAAAAAGCACAGAAAGTTTTTTTTGGCTTGTACATATTTTGAACTCCCGCAAAAACTAAAAGTCAGTTAAAACCAAGGTTATAAAAGCGTACTTTTAGGATACTGTCTATAGGTAGGCCGCAGTTACTTTGAATTGAGCAGGCACAGTATTTTAATTTGTTTGCTTTTGCCTTGGACAAAATGTTTCTCAAAATTACTCAATATTTTTAGAATCACCCACTCAAAGAAACTAAAAACCTCAATAATTTTGGAAATTTTCTATTTTTTGTAAATCTTGATAATTTTAAAAACTTTTAGAATTCTGAAAATGTGTCACTCACCTAACAGTTTGCTACCTATTTCAGCTGTACGCCGATTTCTACTCCTCCGACATAATAGTAGCCTCGCCACTAGGTCTGCGCACAATCATAGGCGCAGAAGGCGAACCCGACCGAGACTACGACTTTCTAGCCTCCATCGAGCTCTTGATATTCGACCAAACGGAACTTTTCCTCATGCAGAACTGGGACCACGTCGTCCACATTTTAAACCACCTCCACATGCAGCCCAAAGCGTCGCACGGCACTGACTTCAGCCGCGTCCGCTCTTGGAGCCTGAACGGATGGGCAAAATACTACAGACAGACTCTTATTTTTTCCTCGATTGTTTCGCCAGAGATAAACTCGATATTTAACAAGAAATGTCAAAATTACAGCGGCAAAATCAAGGTGTGCAATGCCGTGGATTTCGGCAGCGTCTCGCAGGTGTTTGTGCAGTTGCCACATGTGTTTCACAGGTTCGAGACTAAAGACGTTGCCAGTTGTATCGATGATAGGTTTAATTTTTTTGTTGAGAAAATTTTACCGCAGCAAAAAGATACGCTGATGAAGCAGACGTTGATTTTTATACCGACGTATTTTGATTATGTCAGGTTGAGGAATTATTTCAAGAGGGAGGATATCGGGTTTACTCAGATCTGTGAATATTCAAAAGTAAGTATATACAGGGTGCACCAAATATCTTTCTATGTGTATACTTCTATGTTTTTTATTGAAAGAGCTTGAAGGTCGGTTAAAGCCTATTAAAATAAAATTTAAAAATTGGAAAAACCAAAAAAAAAAAAAATTTAAATTAACCTAAAAATCTTTAAAACCAAAAATCCTTATAACTTCCCCACTGATCAAAAAAACATAAATTATATGTCAAATAAACGTCAAAGGTTGTAGTGTGAAATATTAGAATCTTGTAAAATATATGTCACATGAACGTCGCTGTGATGTGCCTATGTCCGGATCCTGGGAGTTGAAAACGGAGCATTTCCGGACCTTTGTTTTTATGAACTTTTCGTCTTAAAACCCTGTATATATGTATATATAATATTTATATAATATTGGTGGAAATTAAACCCTAAAATATAATGTTTATAAATATTCTTTTCTTTTATAAAACAAAAGTAGCAAACACCGCTAAAAATTAGACCGTGTTTTGTTCATTCAAAATGCAGAATATGGTTCAAAAAGTCTCACGTTTCACGGGATTCTAACGACAAAATGGAAATAGAAATGGAAAACATGAATTAGAAAAATTCTTAGATAGATGGAAAATAGCAAATACGAGGTGGGATAGAAATAGAATTATTTGCTAATGGGGGTAAACTAGGGTACAATGGTAAGGGTATAACGTGCATATGAATTCTTGAAAACCTCTAACTAGTGCAAAGTCTATTTGTTTATTATTTTAAATTATATTTTGCAAAATTTTTAAAATTTTTATGTTCGTTAGTTCGTTTGTTTATTTTAAATTGGTTTTAAAATTAAATATTTTTTTTCGGGACTGATCCAACCCTTGGTCCCGAAAGTCCCGGGGTTGAAAAAATGGCTCGAAATCGACACCCCTAGTAAGTTGTACATGTAAACATTCAAACTTATCTATATCCAATTTCTTTGCTACTATATTTTGAGTTACCATCAACATATTTTTTTTGGAATGGCTGCCATAACTTATGTCGTTTGATACATTGTTGGATTCTTTGATTTATTTTCTTTCTATCCATCTGCGGCCATATCAAAAACAAAAGATGGTGGTGGTATCTCAAAATCTAGTAGGCAAAAAAAATCACAAATTGGATGAAAATGTAGATAAATGTGTATGCTTACATGGGAAACTTACTTTTTTTGTTTAATTCACAGGAATAATGAAGTTATAACGATTTTTTGTTTTGACAGGTTTACACTGTTTTCCAAATTATTTGAGAACCGTTGATTTTTTTTAATCTACTTATATGGTTTAATTCCTGAAGATGTATCTCACATTAAAAGACAAAACGTCGGATAGTAATATTCATTCAACACGGTTTAAATTATTTAAACTAAACCAGAAAACGCAGAACTTATTAATAAATTCGGCCGTGAGAGACTTAAAATATTTAAGGATATTTTTGATTGTTTCTGAACATATTTAGAACAGTAAAATAATACTGCATTTTCTATTCGATGCGTGCGATGGAAAATGCAGTACTTATTATACTATTTAGAAACAATAAAAAATATCCTTAAACTGTCTAAAAATTTTATTAAAAATATTTAATTTGTTAATTTAACTCTGAAATGCTTTAAAATTTTGTTAAAGTTTCCTCAAAACAATAAAAAATTGGGATCATCTAAAATTGTCTAAAAATATCTAAAATCTTTATTTAAACTGACCAGTAAGAAAGTTTAATTTAACACAAGAAGTTGCAGAAGAGTCAGAATTTCTGAAGTGGGCCCGCGATTTAAAAAAGCCATACGTATATAAGTAGGTACCAATGCAACAATAAACCACCCAAAAGTTTTGAAAAAATGTAATTTGTTATTACTTATTTTTACAATTAAATATTTTGATGATATTTATTTACATGTACAATACTCAAAATTTCAAAATAAACCATATTTAAAACAGTCATATACATTAGGGTGTTTTTTTTTCACGACTATTTTTATTTTTTCGCTTCCAACTCAAAATTTTGTTGAAAATGTTCAAAAAAAATTCCCTGAAAATATGAGCCTGTAATATTACCTCAAAGTACTCTACCAAAGCGTATAAAGATTTACCATTTAAATACACGTAACCTTTGAATATTTTTTTTAAATATCTATATCAGCCGCATTTCATGCTATTGGATTGTTTCAAAAATTGATTTACTCCTAATCAAAAGTTCTACAAAAATGCTTTAGGTGCTATAGCTGTAATCTGCACCTGTAGGATGTTACAGGTCACTAAATCTTATTTTAGTGAAAAATTCTTATATTTTGAAGATATTTTATTCTTTGAAAAAATGTAAAGGACAAATTTTCTTTAAAAAATATAACATGTATGTAATACACCTCGTTATATCAATTGGATGAAATTGTACTAATAAACAATTGAAAATCATCATTTATAAAAAGTTTGGTACGAAAATCCTAAAATTTACATAAATTTTCAATGAAAACGCTTTATATCTCAACAAATATCAATCTTAGCGATTCAACTGATAAGACCTTTTTTAAAGAAAATTAAATTTTCTACAAGTTTGTCCTTTTTTCAAAGAATCCAGTCACTTTTGAAATATCTTCAAAAATATGAGAATTTTTCACTAAAATACGATTTAGTGACCCGTACTATCCTACAGGTGCAGATTACAGCTATGGCACATAAAGCATTTTTGTAGAACTTTTGATTACGAGTAAATCCTTTTTTGAAACAATCCAATAGCATAAAATTCGGCTGAGATATAGATATTAAAAAAAAAAAATCAAAGTTTACCTGTATTTTAAATGGGACATCTTTATACGCTTTGGTAGAGTACTTTGAGTTAATATTAAGGGCTCAAATTTTCAGGGATTTTTTTTTAACAATTTCAATAAGATTTTGAGTTGGGAGCGAAAAATTAAAAATAGTCGTGAAAAAAAAGCACCCTAATATACATATTGCAATTTTTAAAATACTTTATTGTAGAAATTTTTTAAATCAATTTAAAAGCGGTCGTCCATATACCACCTTAGCACATTTTTTCCAGTTTTGGACCCTCCCCCCATCAATCATCATCACCCAGCCACCCCCCTTGTTAACTTCATCTTATTTTCACATTATTTTTTTTCAAAATCTAGCTTTCTGATTTTTTCACATGGGAAAAAAGTGATGACCCCACCTCCCCTCGTCATCAACCGTCATCAATCGCATGCTCTCTCCTCTCTGCATGCTGACTTAATATGTGGACGATTCAGAAGTGAAAAAATTTACGTTTTCATAACATTTTTTATAAAAAATTCATCAAAAACAGAAATGATTATTTATTAATATGTTCTGCAACTTTCAAACCATTATTTTTGTGTGTTAGTTTATTTTTTCATTTATTTAATTAAAAATTATTTTTAGGAAAATAAAATAGCAAGAGCAAGAGACATGTTCTTCCATGGTGATGCCCACTTTATGTTATACACTGAAAGATACCATTATTTCAACAGAATAAGGGTTAAAGGAATTAGACACATAATTTTCTACCAACCACCGGTTTTCCCTCATTTTTACTACGAAATGTGCAATTTAATGCAGGTAAAATATTATTTGCTTTGATTTTTTTATTAAGTATTAAGTATTAATGTCAACTTAATCAAATGTCTCAAAATCTAAATTAAAAACATAACATAATCTTTTGTTTCTTTTTTAGGAGGGCAATATGAATAAAAAAGTAGGCAACTCCTCAAACATGACTGTGACAGTTTTATATTCGAAATATGACGTTCATCAATTGTCAGCCATAGTGGGTACCGTCAGGGCCGCCAAAATGGTACAGTCTGATAGAAAAGTACACATGATGCTGACAGGGTCTGATTGAAATTTTAATAATATTTTTGTACAAAATATGTTGATAATAAATGTTATTTATTTAACTTTTTGGTTTATTTTGGTTCAAGGGGAAATAAAATGTGTTTTAGAAACTCTAGGTTTATTTATTGTTGCACAAATAAATGTTTAACAACAAAGGAATGTTATACAATAACGAAATTTATAAAAATATGCTAACATTTGTAAACTTTTTATACTTTTATACAAAAAATTCTTATTTTAATAATAATGGTAATAGTAGTGTTATTATTACATAATAAGGAGTATTTTTTCAAAACACGAAATCTTATATTTATTGTCAGTGACAAAATATCAATTTTAAGTAACTTGTTTTACAAATACAATACAAATTAAAAGCTATTACTACATAAGTAACTATTATTTTCTGTAGTGTTAGCTATATATTTTGCTTGCTCATATCGATAATATAGAAAATTTTATAACAAATTCTACAACTCTACAGTCTTATAATTTAATAATTAACTATTGAGTAATTATTAAATGGACCTTTTCAACCACCATAATTGAATCTACTTAGTGAACTCGTTATAGCTGTGCTTGAAATTCATGATTTTCTTGATAAAAATTGATCTTTTTCGCTTTTGATCGTAGTAGTATACGGGCCATGTTGCATTCTCTTCGGCTTCTTCCGGGGTTGATGTGACGCTTGGCAACATTGTCGTCGCTTCTTCCGGGTTTACTTCGTTTGATGTCATTTGTTGCCGCATGTCTGAAAAAAGTAAGAATGTGTTTAATTTGTTTTACTTTAAAAAATTTGGAAAATAGCCAGAAAATATTAAAAAGATATATAAGCCATAAAAGGTTTTATTAGCTTTAAAAAATTATATATGTGGAAACAAAATTATGAAGATATGTTATAAGAAAAAACCAGAAGAGATAATATTTTTTTACAAATATTGTAAAAACAACGCCAATTAAGACAATTACTTTTAAATTATTGCTGAGGTATGGTTAATAAAATAATACAATTGAATAGATCATAAAAAGGGTAATTTACCTAAAATATGAAATCCTAGATAAATATAGTGCCTGAAATCATAAAAAATAGGGAAATATTAGAAAATCGGATAACTATACAAAATATAAGGAAATAATACAGAAAAAAAAAATTACATCAAATAAGAATCTACATAAAATCATAGAAAAAATATGAAAATCTTGTAAATTAAAAAAAAATCATATGATTTTTAATATAATATTAATATGGTTGAAAAAATTATTCCAGGAAATTAGCGATAAATTTAGGTAAAATAGAAAATAAATGGAAATTGTAGTTTTATAGAAAACCATAGGACCCCAAAAATATATGAAATAGTGGATGAGATTCTAGAATATACAAAAATGCAGAATAAACAAAGGAAACAAAAAATTAAATGAAAATAAATTAAAACCAGTAAAAATAATAATAATAGTAAGTAAATATTTCGACGGTACCGTTTAAATTAATTTGTACAATTTGTATAGTTTTTAAGTAAATTTTATTTTTGAAAATGTACAAATTAATTATTATAATTATAATTGATTTTTTAAAGAAATATAATATAAGGTACTTATTTAGTGCTTTGGAGCTTTTTATACAATCTAAATAACAAGTTAAAATTAAAAACCTTAACGTTCATAATAATTGTGAATCACAGTAGTGTTTGTACTTTGTAAGTCTAAAAAATTTATAAATGGCTAAAAATGTATAAGTATCCGGCGTCAACTTTTTTCCGAGCCCCCCAATATTACAGTGTACACATAAAAAATCTGACATAGTACCAAGAACAGCGCTGTCATTGAATGCATTAAAATTGAAGCAATCTAAATTGTTATTTGCTCAATTAATTACTATTAAACCAAAATAGGGAAACTTTTGCCTAAATGTCAAAGAATTTATTGCGTTAAATGTATACAAAGTATACATACTATAGTAACGTTTTTAAATAAATGAAATTAGTATTAACGCAATAACATTTTAACAAATAAATATCAATAGATTTAGGAGTGATAACTTTTGTTGTTAATTTAAAAACAGTAAACGATTATAAATCAAGTGCTAACTACCTATTGGTATTATAGGAACTGTTATTCAGGAATACGGATTACAAGATCCCATTGGTTTAATGGCTCACCCATTCATGCTATGCTAGCGTTTTTTCTGTGTATAAAAGTTTTCAAACGAGTTGGATTTGTACTGCACTACTGTTAAAATATCAATTTTTTTTTAATGAGTATACTCGAGTGGGGTCATATTACACATTGAATAGCTGATCGTAACCAAGATTTGCTTTAATTTTTAGGGTCTATAGTGGAACCAAAAAAATAAAATAATTCTAAAACAAAGAAACTCACTACTTTTCAGTGTTTATACTGTAAAATCGACAAAAATGCATAAAAAGTGCTGAAATTTTTTTTTTTTTTTTCATTATTTTGGTTCTACTATGTACCATCAAAATTTGAAGCAAATCGGAGACACCCTTGTAAAATCTTTATTTTTTGTGCGATTTTAACCGCATTTGTTTTAAAGTGTGGATCTTAATAAACTGTATTTTTGGAGCAAAAAAAGCCATATTTTTACAAAATACAAGGCCTATTATTTCAGTATTTGAGTGTACATTTTTAAGAATTTATATCATAATCTATGCACGGCACTGGATTCACCACCCCTTAAAACGACCCTATACTAAATTTTATTAAAAACTTTTTAGTTGATACGATTTTGTAGCCAAATTTAAAATGAGCAATAATAACCATTAACAAAAATTTATTCTTTCAAATTACGCGTCATTTTAAGGGGTGTCGAATCCAGTACCGTGCATAGATTTTTAAAAAAATCGGCAATTTGAATTAAAAATTTACTCTCGAAAAACGGAAGTGGTGAGTCGCTAACAAATGTGTATAGGACATCTCCTGCTTTTTGGAGTGTCCTTATTACTATGAACTACTGCTTTTATACTTCATACTGTTCTTAAACCAAATGTCCTGGTATTTTCACCCTCAAATCCTGGTGAAAAACTAAGAATAACATAAAATCACACAAAAATAAAATAAATGCCCAGATAACAAGGGGCATCAAAACGCACATCGCCTTCACGTCGTGCGGAATCATGCGTGACGGTAAAAACGCTGCGATATGATATTCATTTTATGATTAATTGGAATACACGCACGTGATTGGTATATGAGGGCACGAAATGATTAAAAACTTTTTACTTTTGCTGAATAGTTATCGCAAAATTGTAGATGTAATACTAGATCTACACTACATCTTGCGAAAATTGTTCATTTTACTTCATATTATAACTAAAATTTTAAAAAAATTGACTTACAACAATTTGTGAAAAGACTGGATTTGTAAAGACTAAATTTGTAGACTACCTTTGTATAAAAAATATACTTAATTTTATTTGGAATTCAAAATTGGAATTGATCTTAATATCAACGAGTTAACACGTTGACCTTAAGATCACATTTATAAATTAGTTTATCATTAATTTATTTATGAATTTGTAAATAGATACCTTATTTTAATTAAAATAAGTTAACTTATTATAATTATCTTTATACAAATGTAGACAATTTTCACAAAAACTAAAATAAATGACTTAAAGAAAAATATCTTTTGGATTATTACTTATTTTCGTATACTTAAGTAATATCATAGGTGCATCTAATTTTTCCAAAAAAACATGTTGCTAAGTAATATTTTAACAAGAAGAATGAGTGTTGGTGGCAACAAAAATCCGAGTCGAAGATGAGGATTTTTGCACCTGTACGAATGCATTTTGTAAAAAAATATTACTTAGCATTGTGTTTTTTTGATTTGTTTCAGAGGAAAAATTATATGCCCAAATGGTATTTGACAAGACTATTTCATGAGTAACAGTAATTCTGCATAAACATAGCTTACAAAACATACTATAGTATACCTATTATACATGCATACATAATAAATATGTAGGTATTAATTTAAAACTGAAAAGTAGGTAATTTATTTAATCACAAAATACTATAAACTTAATTATTTATGGTACAAGTAAAATATAAATTGCAATTTTGGTGACAACAGCTGTCAAGTTTCGCCGCGGGTAAACTCGAAAAAAACTGCTGACACTGCTTCAAAATTGCGCGTTTGTGATTGGTGGAAATTGGTGGACGAGGGAAATAGAATCAATTTTATGAATGAAGAAGTTTTGGAATTGCCTTGTCTTAATTTGATTGTTTCTTACAACGTTTCGATTAGTAATTATGGTCTTCAGAGATAACTGAAGACAATTAAAGATAATTACTAATCGAAACGTAAGAAAAACAATCAAATTAAGGCAATGCAAGTCCAAAATTCACCTGTTAATCATGTCCAGAAAAATTTCTTCAACCATCACATGTGCTGGCTATATGAACCTCAATTGATGACGCAAATGATGCATATATGCGTGCATACGTGCGGATTACAATCACGTTGTGACTGCAATATGCGTCAATTATGAACTTCATAATGTTATATTCTTATTAAAGTGTTTTTTGGATAAAATTGTTTGTTTTGATTTTACCTGAAAAAACCTCGTTACACCTCATCTGCAAAACGTCATATTTTTCCTGCAACAACCTCAACTGATTCTGAGCTTCGACCAACTGCTCCAGAAGCGGCGTTTGCTCAATCCTAACGGAGACCACTTTCGTCTCGAACTTGGAATCGCCGTTCCACAAAAACACGTAGTACATGGACAACATGATAGCGGCCAGCGAGACGAAAAAAATGTACGCAATGACCGTAAGCACCCTCACGACCTTCTTCTTGTGCTTGGGCTCGTAGAGCTTGTCCTTCGCCTCCTCTCCGGCCAGCTTGACCGTCGTGTCCGGACACGTCTGAACAGGCGGCTTCTGCTCCAACTTGTTCTTGAAACCGTTCAGCGAGGTGTACGACATGCTTTTGAGGAAGGCGAAAAACTTGCGGACGAGTTTTAGAGCCACGCTTGCACTTTTCCCTGCCCGGTGGAGGCGAACTCGGATCGATTTTTTCGGTTATTCGGGACGAATTCGACGTCCCGTTACGCGGATTTTTCTTGTGCTGGTTTCGCGGAGAATCGATCGAACAGCTGATTTCGGTCGTTGGAAGGGGCGCGAAAGGCGCAGAATCTACGCGACGCGTCGCGACGGCAGAGTGCTTTGTTTTCGAAATTTCAAATTTAATCGAGTCGCCTGTATGGTTTTACGGCCGTTTTATGGAATATAAATTGTTTTATTTAATTGTTTAATTTGAAGTAAATTGTTTTTAAAAAAATTGGGTCAAAACAATTTTAAGATTATTAAAATTTGTTTACAGGAAGTTTTGAGCGATAAAATAAAATATATAAATCATAAAATTTAATTTATATTTATGATACATTTACTCTTATAATAATTTATAATAGAAACTATTAAAGCTAGTTTTTTACCGCAAAAATTTTTGTTTTATATATAAATTATCAAAAATGGCGAATGCGCCGGGATATTAACTTTTATTTTGAGAAAGAAAGAAAACTAATAAATGGGTTTGGACAACTTGATGTCATCACTCAATAGAGTAGGGTGAGAATTCGTGAAACGGATCACTGTTTTCCCGACTTTGGAAATTACAAAAAACAATTATTGGGTTTTGTAGTACTCATTGATAGTAAAATATTCCCAAATTTAAAAAAATATATATAAACAATAATAAAAGTTATTTAAAAAAGAGCGTTTTTGACGATTTTTTTTCGAAAATCTCTCATGGAAATAAAGCCTTTTAATAAAATTGAAAATTCTTCAAAACTTATCAAATTTTTATAAAAAATATATTTAAATCAAAAAAAAATTATTTTCATAAAAAAAAATTATTTATAATAAACAATTTGCATTTTTATAATTTTCTCAATGCTCTTTTTGAAAATCGTGTTAATTTTTATTTTTCTTAAAGTCTTTCCAATGAAAAACTAAAAAAAATATTCGATTCTTAATTAACCCAGATAGCAAAATGTAGTTCCGATGCGCGCACTTGGAGTGCACACGTGCGACTTAAGTCGCACGTGTGCGATGCATCTGGCCTTACATATATGTCCACATTTGAGTTGCATCTGAAGCGCACGAATGCGATTTAGAAAGCAAAATGTAGTTCCGATGCGCGCACTTGGAGTGCACACGTGCGACTTAAGTCGCACGTGTGCGATGCATCTGGCCTTACATATATGTCCACATTTGAGTTGCATCTGAAGCGCACGAATGCGATTTAGAAAGCAACCTGAAAGAAAATGATCTTCACATGTAAAATTCTGGCCTAAAGAATTTAAAAATGTAAAATTTTGGATATACCAAAGAACTAACAAGGAGGTGTTAATTAACACTTCTTACACAATTAAGACCATCAAGCCTCTATCACAAATTGGTTGGTTTACCACGCCTTTAGGCAAATTTGGATCTATCTTTTAACAAAAGAAGATTTTAAATCCCTAATACTCAGATCCCTTTACCAAGACAGTCTTTTCGAGCTGGCTTAGGTTGCAATGATAATCCCACTATTATTCAATTTGCAACCATTGGTCAACCATGGATAAGGTCAATTTTAAACTTACAATATGCTGTAGAGGTCATTTATGAAATTCTCCTATTTTTTTTAAATCAAACCACAAGTTATTCTTGGATTCAAAGAAGTAATGATTTTCTGTATCCGAAGCACAGGCTTGCTATTTTTGAAAAAGGCTGCTACTATTTGTGCCTATTCTTCTTTAACCACTCGCCTCAAAATATTAAAGTTTCATTGCATTTATATTCTATAGAATTTTATAAAAAACTTATTTTTGATTACATTCTGGAAAAAGAACCCTATTCTTTAAATGAGTTTCTAAATTAACCAGTCCTTTGTAATAATTAGTAGGTATTTTATTTATACAATGTTTTATTTTTGCAATATTTTATGTATTTATATATATATTATTCTTTTATATATATAAATTATTCTTTTTTAATACCCATACATAAATCTTATAAGTATACTTAATTGTTTGTTTGTGTATGTCTTAATTTAAATTAAAAATTACTTTAATTATATACCAAAACTTTCTTGACACAATTTTCTTTCTTACTGTGTAAAATGTAAAAATAAATTTATTTATAGCCTTAAGGCTATTATTATTATTATTATTTAAAAAAAACTTTCTTGGCACAATTTTCTTTCTTACTGTGTAAAATGTAAAAATAAATTTATTTATAGCCTTAAGGCTATTATTATTATTTAAAAAGTAAGGTAATATATGGACGTAGTTCTGCAGAAAAGAACCAATCGAAAAATTAGAAAAAAAATAAGATATTTTGTATATTAACAGAAAATAAGCTAAATTTTATTCAGGAAAAATCTCTAAACTCTATTTTAACCAATTTAGTTATAATATATATATATATATATATATATAACTAAATTGGTTAAAATAGAGTTTAGAGATTTTTCCTGAATAAAATTTAGCTTTTTATATATTTATTGATCTGAATCTGAAACAATTATTGTTTGGTGGGTTGGATCCTTTCTGCATAAATGGGTCCGTATATATTAATTATAAATAACAATAAATGTCATCGCACCTGCCACGCACAAATTTTAAAACATGTGACTTTACTGTGAATGTGTATACGAACGCACGTGTGCGATATGCGAAAATGGTCTCATCGCGTGCGCCTAAAACTCACGCGTTACTTCATTTTGAATGCGTAATAGCGCGCACGCGTGAGACCGCACGTCATGCGTTTTTCGTGCGACGCACTATTGCTATCTGGGAAACGATTAATGACATTTGATTTTGTGAGCCGGCGCGACTTTTCTGGCCCTGGCGCTCGAGCGCGCTCCCGACGCGACCCGTCCCATTGCGATGCGTACTTTATTATCAATAACTCTGCTATACTATACTATCAAGTACTTGTGATTTAAAAATGATTTTGTAAGACCATTAAATATATATTATACGTATATACACACAGGGTGTATCACGTTCGATGGTAGGTTAGACGTTTATGGAGAACGGCAAAAGATATCGAATTGAAATTTTTATAGCAAATATAATATCATTTAAACTATTTTTCTAAATTATTTTGAACAAAATTACTCTTCTGGTTTTAACAGAAGCGATATCAACTTTGTTATCATTCCTTAATAGTGTTTGAGTTAATTTTTTTTGTAAAATTCGTAGTTTCCACCTCAACAAAAAAGCTTATAACTTTTTTAATATTAGGTTTACTTATATTCGGTTGGATTTATTGGAATCATGAAAGATTCTTTTAAATATTCCATGTAATTTACTGTAATCCCATGGGGAAAAATCGTCTAAAGACGATCATCTTTAGACGCGAATTCGTCCAATCGTCTTTCAAACGATCGTCTTTCAAACGATCGACTTTCAAACGATTCAATCGGTTGCGTAGGTTAGGCGGTCGGCTGTACAGACGAAATATATATCGATGGTTATTTAACAAAACATCGTAAGCGACAATTTTGTTGAATTACTTTTTATTTTATCAAAGTGTCAGTTACGATAAGCTGCACATGTTAACATAATAGTTATTCCAATTTTGGAATCTAATATTGGTCAGTTTGAATATTTTTATTATTGTAAGCGCCCCTTCTTTTTAATTTGTTACCGATTTATAACGTAAGCGCCTATATGTTCCTGACAAATAATCGTAAGCAACTCCAAGACATGGCGTTTGCGATGTAACATTGTGTCGCTTACGATAATATTGTGCTCCCGCCTTGATCTATCAAGCGTTATTTCCGCTCTAAACAGTTTATTCGTGAGTATACCTGCATCGTGGTGATTGCTACCACAATCCACAATGTGGATTGTGATTGCTACCAGGTTTTAAAACAATATTTTTTTTGATCAAAAGCTTATAATTGCTTTTTATCATTGCATTATTAATAGTTATCCTAATTATAATTGTTTTTACGTAGTGTGGTTCGTTAAAAGTATTTTTTGTAGTAATTGTATGTTGTTATAACGTCAAATAATTTAACTCAAATTTATAACGGTTAGATGGTGACCAAAAAATTTCGAACGACCTGTCATTCAGTTGATTTCAAAATGTAAAACTGCCTTTGTCAGTTTGATGTATTTTATTGTTGATTGTGTTGTTTTAAGGTTAGATTCTCTGTCAACTTTTTGAAACTGCTTGTCATCTTGTCAAAAATGTCCCTAAAGGTTGGTTTGCACAGACATTAAGTTCGGGCTCCTTGTGTAGGCTACATGGGTTAGATACTGGTCTGTGAATAAAATCGTTCGTTTTTTTCAAAGAAAGCTAATGTAGATTTTCATTTTCAAACATTGTTTGGCAAAATATTGGTGATATAAATTAATTTTTTTGTAATTATTTTTTATTTAATAATAAAAGTAAAAAAATAAATGTCGCTAACAATGTTTTGACAAAAGTAATCATCAAATCTATATCCCACAAAGTAACGTAAATGTAACTTAAGCGACAAGACTATTTTTACATTTTCCTAAAGATGTTCTTATAAAATATCGTATGCCACAAAATTTAATGAAAATTTTAGGTTGGATTCGATCTAACTTAAATATTTGAATTCTACATTAATAAAATAATGCCTCACCAGTTTTCAGATAAATAACTTTAAAAATAAAGCTCCCACACAAAAAAAATCTCTCCTGTAAAATTTAGGTTTTGTCGCTTACGATGTTTTGTCAAATAACCATCGATATTTGAAATTCTTTTCTATTATAATAAAGAATTTCAAATATACTTTGGAATATTTGGAATTGTCTATTATTCGAAATAGGTAGGTATCGCCTTTAGAATTATTTTTTTAATTAATTTAATTAATAATTATGACAAAATAAAAATATTTTCTCATCGGTTAAGTTATAACTTAAAATTTTAATTAAAACGATCGTCTTTTTTCGACTATTATTTTAGACGATCGCCTTTTGTATCGTTTATCACTTTAAACGATCGTCTTTAGGGTCGGCTATTATTTTAGACGATTAAAGACGATCGTTTAAATAATTAAACGATTTCGTTTGAAAGTAGACGATCTTCTTCAGACGATCGTCTTTTTTACAAAAGATCGTTTAAAAAATTAAGCGATATCGTTTAAAAATAGACGATCTTCTTCAGACGATCGTCTTTTTTTTAAACGATTTTTTCCCATGGGATATTTCTAAAAAGATACTTGATAAAAAACAGATTTGTTGATAAGTAGCATTCAATAATAAAAAATATTAGTAAAATACTTAATTCCGAATTATAATCTTAAATTTGTATCCCATTCATCAGTACCGTGTCGTCAGTTCCATGTTCGATGTTTCGGTTATCTTTTTTCGCAAACTTCAATTTAAATTCTGCGCAGAACTTGTTTATTTAATGTCATTATAAACTCATATAAATTTGGTGTGGGTCCCATATCTAATAATTGAGATATCGGTATACCCAAAATCCACCAGCCGCCACTGATGTGTGGTATTATTTGATTTTAAGCTATTTAATGTATAATATGCTCAAAATTGCAATAAATCTTATATTTTTCGATAAATTATGTATTTAATTAGTACCCTGGTATACTCGTCACCTCCCTTGCATTCAAACTTAGAAAACACAGATATTTCAGAAACTATTTGAAAAAGTGACTGGCCCGGTCTGGAACAGTATATTTATTATATTATCTATGTTCTTATAACAAAATTCTGTTTAATTTTCTCCGAAAACTATAATATATTATATATAATATATTATAAACAAAATGAGGTCAAAAGTTGCCCAACTTTTGTAGAATCACCCAAATAACAAAATAATCAAAAACGAATAAAGTATGTATATTTTTTTAAATTATAAAAATATAATGGGATCCGTGTAATATTTAGCAAATACATACACAGGGTGTTTGGAAAGCAAAAAAGAGTAAAAGAGTAATAATTACACTATGATAATTTTCAAAACTTTTTTTCTTATAACATTGAGTACTAGGCCTAGTTTAACGAATATGAGCCGCTGATTTTAAAAATTTCACTCGTTTTGCTCTAGGACGTCTAGGATTTAAAATAATTGCGTAATAAAATGCTCTGCTCAATCAAGTTATTTTGTGAACACTTTTATTATATATTAAATTATTTTGCCTTAAATTTATCTTGAATGTACTGGAGCAACCTGTATACGCTAAAGAAGTATCGCTAGTAGCGCCACCACTCGGCCGTTATCATCGTAACAAAACTACAACTTTTAAGAATCGGCTGTTAAACGCTTATGTTACAAACTAATGTTTTTGAGAATAAAGCCGGAAAATGTTAAAAAATATCGAAAAAAAACCGTGGCATGATTTGTTGTGTTGGGTGTATTTCGAGAGGAAATCCTGAGTTTTTACCGGTTTTCCAATAAACAGTGTTAATCCGAATTAAAAAAAATAAAACTTTAGTTTAGAAACATTTTTTTCTCGATCTCAGTACCTACGTATCTGTAAAAATTTGTAAATTTTTAGAAAAATTGACTTTTGCATTTTTTCTTATTACTCTTTGAATAAAATGTTAAAAATGGCGAATGCGTCGGGATAATTTGAGTAATATGGTTTCTTCTGGATTATTCTTAAAACGTAGTTTTAAATTGATTTTTCATTATGGTATTAAGCTTTCCGCCTACAATAATGTTGCGTTGCATAATACTATAGGGATAAACTTTTATGTTTTCCGGCGAAACAGCAAAATACTCAACCTACTGACACACTTTACCTGCTGCGATTTTAAATTAATATCATTAGCTTACATGAATTTTCGTACTCGTTTTACTTCTTTGACAAAAATAACCAACTCTGTGTTTTATTGTTTTAAGTGTAAACTAATAACTATTATAATGTGGCAAATATAATTTTTTTTAAATGGGACACCCTTTATATTTTTACACATTTTAAAAGATAATTTAATTTGGAAGAAAAAAATATTGCATAACTACCCTAAACTAAAAAATAATAATAAGCACTTGAACATTCTGATGGTTGTTGAAATATATGGTTAACTTATAACATAACCAAATTAGTTTATTTTAACAACAATCAGAGTTCAAGTACTTATTAATTGTTTATTTTTAGGGTTTAGGGTAGTTATGCAATAATAATTTTTTGTTCCAAATTAAATTGTCTTTGTCAATTGTTTTTCTGTTTTACAGAAAAAAATAACCGACTTTGTAGCCCCAATAATAACGAATCTAACGAAGCTAACAATGGTGAGCAGATAATTTTGGGCACCCTGTATATAGCGCGACCTCTTAATTTTATCCGATCGCACCCAAATTTAAAGATATTCGTGAGTTCAAATCCTGTCAAAAACAGTAGAAGGAGCTTGTATAATAATAATAATTTTTTTTAGTGGAGTAGTAAAATTGTCCTATTGTTGTCATTAGTCAAGTTATCAATTGAAAAAAAATATATATAAAAATTTGTTGGCGAATCCATTAAAAAAATATTTTTAACTCTTTAAATCTCCTTTTGAAATGTCATATAAACACCCTGTGTAATAACAAAACACATGGGTATTTTTTTTATATAAAGAGCTACAAGCTCGGTCATATTAGAAAAAAATAATGTAAATGAAATTTGAATATCAAAAAAACTAAAACCTTTCATCACCAAAAATCGTTATAACTTCATTATTCCTGGGATTTTAAAAAATATATAAGTTTTACATGTAAACATACACATTTATCTACTTCTTTATCCAATTTCTTTTCAATTATATTTGTAGTCACCATCACCATCTTTTGTTTCTATAATGGCCGTCAAAACTTACTAACTGTAGTAAGTTTAATACATCGTTGGATTTCTTGATTTTTGTAAAATTCCAATAAGGCGTCCATAGGAAAAACAAACATGGTGTTGGTAACTCAATTCAAAAATTTGATTAAAATGAACACAAATGTGTATGTTTACAAGTAAAACTTTTTTTTTAATTCCTAGGAATAAACAAATATAGGTATCAATTTTTGGTTGTGACAGGTTTTAGTTTTTTTTCATGTAAAACTTACTGAAAACTTAGTGAAAGGTTTTTAGTTTTTATAAAAAACAATAATTTTTTTATGTAAAACTTACTGAAAAAAAATTCCCAGGAATTAGGAATATAAAAGTATTTTTGGTTTTGACAGTTTTTCAGTTTTTTTTTAAATTATTTGAGAACCGTAGATGTTTTTCCAATTTTTAATTGTTATTTTGATAGAATTTAACAACGACAATTTGTTTTCAATGTAACTAATATTTAATTTATTTGAAACCGGGTAATTGAAAACTGCTTATAAAATTAAAGTTTTGGGCAATTAAAAACTGCCCAAATTCGAACAAAATTGGATACATTTCATACATAAATAAAAATGGTATGAAAAATTCGCACAGTGGGATGCATTAAAATTGGTAAGACAAATTCATACAGTTCCATAAATTTAAGAAACAGTAACTATAGGATTAAAACGCGCTGTAGAATAAATTTAAAAAATGGTAGTTGCTTTAACAGGCGCTAGATCCTTTATTTCTGTTAAAAAAGATTCTAGATCTCAAACGAGCCAAGATCCTTATTTCGAAAAAAGTAGCGCATATAAAAAATAAGAAAATTATGCTTTTTCTTATAAGATAAATGTTTCTTTATCAAAATATATTTGTTATGGACATAGACAAAAATGTTTCATTTATCTGCTTTTAACTTTTATTTACCTGTTATCACTCTTACCTTTGGGAGAGTGAGTTCGATTTTCTAATTTCCTTACTTCTGCACCACTCGAGTTCGTTAATTCTTCTGTGTCGTTTAAACTTAAATCTATTTCATTTTTGGATTCCAGAAAATCATTTTTGATAGAAAAAACTGGGGGTAATTCTTCAGGTTTAATTATGTAATCGCTAAAATATAAAAGTTATAAGAAAAACTATTTTTGTTTTAGTTTTAAAGTAAGGTTGGGTGACCAAACCAAAGCAGTTTGACGTTTTTTATATGGGGAAGGCTTCCTGAAGTGGACCCTGAATTTACCAAGGGTCGGGATTTTATAACATTTTTTTTTCAAAACAAAGTCTCTTTAGAGGAGATTACTTTTCAAAAATTTTATAAAAATTATTTAAATCAATAATAAAGTTTTTTACAATACTTTATTTTTTTCGTTTAAAAAATATTACATTAAAAGTAAAAAAAAATATTAAAAAAATAAACAGTCTTACAATTTCTTATTTTATAAATCTAACCCTACATCTCACTTTTAAAAATAATTTTCTATGCCTAAAAAAATATTTTTTTTACTTTTAATGTAGGTACCTACCTAATATTCTTAAACAAACATTTTTTTGTAGAAAAATGTATTATTGATTTGCAACAAAAAAATAATTGACTTTGAACCACGCATAGCAGAGTAATTTTTGGTTTAAGTAAGCAATATTAAAAAGTTTGTTCCTTTATTAAAAAAAACAAGTGAATATTTTTTTAAGTTATATTATCTTTCTGATGTGGACCATACAATTACCAAGGGTCGGAATTTTATAACGTTTTTTATTCCAAACAAAGTCTCTCTAGAGGTGATAACTTTACATAAATTTTATAAAAAAATATGCACTTGTTTATTTTTTTTAAACAATCAAAGTTTTTAGCGGTGCTTAAAAAAATTACTCTGCATGCATTGTTCAGTCAATGATTTTTTTTGTAAATCAATAATACATTTTTTTACAATACTGTATATTTTTCGTTTAAAAAATATTACATTAAAAGTAAAAAAAAATAATCTTTTTTTTTAATTAAACAACTTTTAGGCCTTAAAAATTATTGACTTTGAACCACGCATTACAGAGTAATTTTTGGTTTAAGAGAGCACTCTTGAAAAGTTTGATTTTTTATAAAAAATAAACAAGTGAATATTTTTTTATAAAATTTGTTTAAATTTAGAAAGCCTTACCCTTCTGTGGGTAAAAGGCATTAGGGGATAAGTCAAAAAAAGCAATTTTTCAATAGAGCCTTTAACGTGTTCGCATTAATTCAGGAAATATATTTATGTTTAGCGGGTATACTCTTTTGTTAGCATATGACATGGGCTAACAAAAGGGTATACCCGCTAACCATAAAAATGTTTCCTGAATTAATGCGAATACGTTTAAGGCTCAACTGAAAAATTGCTTTTTTTGACTTATCCCCTTATGCCTTTTACCCACAGCCTTATACCCATATACCAATATACCTTACAATGTAAGGCTTACATATATATCTTAACGTATTAACAATTTATTGAAAACTGCGCACTCTTGCCCTACTTATACTCTACAAATAAACATTTTAATTAGGTACCTTGTAATATTGTCATTTTCATAAAATCCTATAGCAGTTTGGGCCCCAATGTGTGGACGTCCTTGCCATATAAATATGTAATAGATAGACAAGAGTATGGCAGCCATAGAAACGCTAAGCGCGTAGGCGATAACCGTTAAAACTCTAATTATTTTCGGTGTTTCCTGTTTCGGTTGGAAAATGTCCTTGGCTTCGATGGGCGATTCTGCGTTTATGTCTTCTTGGGATGACATTTTCGATTTTGCTGTTTACATTTTTCTAAAAAATACAATTTATTATAGTTTATATAAATATTTTTAAATAAATAGTCCCTTATAACTTAAAAAATACTCGTCGGAATTTTTTTTTAATTTTTTTACTTGCTTAAAACAGCGCGGCATACCATTGGTGCTCCTGTATAACATCTTTATTAAATTATCAAACATTAAAAATATCCCGGTACATTCGCCATTTTTGACAATATTGACGAATTTAAAATTATTGAATCTATTAGGAATGTGTAATTTTAAAAATCATACATTTCTTTAGATTGGTATATATATATATATTGTTATAATGTAATGTACAAAAATGTTTTTGTAGATTTTGTAATTTTGTTAAAATTCTGATGTATTCGCCATTTTCTATAAAAGTTGTAGGTAGGTATTAATATTTTGTTTGAAAGTAAAATTTACATGCTTTATTTTTTGTTAGTTTTCAATTTCTTGTTTTTTTTCATACAAGTTGAAAATCGGCGCTATTTTTTAATCAGAATAAAATTTTGAACTGTAGAGTAACTCTACTAGAGTTTGAGTTTCTTAAATCAAATGTAAATATTGTCTGACAATTGTTGAAAAAAAAATTATTATCATTATAAAAAAAATGTTTTCTTTCCTTTTATATAAAAATAGTCTGGAAACATTGAAATATTAAAACTAAAATTCAATTTTAAAATCCTTTATAGAAATTTTATATATCGAAAATATTGTTTAGAATATCGCAAAAATGATTATGTTAAAATTTGAGCTCTTAATATTAATACTAAAAGGTCCCTCATCGCAAATTTATATTTTCCATTAAAATAACATGTTTTTTTTGTTAACTTAAGAGGTCCCTTTTAGTATTATTATTAAGAACTTAAATTTTAACAGGAAAATTTTGTTGACATTCTGAAATACATATATTTTCGATATATTTTTTTTTAATGAAACAAGAGGCAATTTTTCTGTATATTAAAGACTATAAGAATGGTAATGACATTTTAAAAGACATTAATTTCCTTTAAATTTAATTTATATGAAACAAATACAATTTTATTAAATTAAAATAAAATCAAAAAGTTTTCTATTTTAATTTCTAAAATAATCATTTGAAAACCGATTTCTACAAATATCATTTTAAGATTTAACTTAAACAAACAAACATCAAAATAAATTTTAAGAAAATAAATACCTACAATTTGTGATGGTCACATTTATTAATAGTAACTTTTTTTATTTAAAAATACAAATATTTAGTAAAAAGTAAAATTATATTACTTACTTAATAATATTTTTGTATTAAATAAATAATATTATTTAAAAAAGCGTCTTCTCCTTAATTTTTAGCCAAAATAAAAAAATACGTTTCATAATTGCATTAGGAAAACTTTTTTGCAAATTTGTATCGTAATGAAACATACAAATTAACAGTAAGACAAAATTTAATGAATTTTTTTTACATTTACAATACCAAAATTTAAATTTTTTATTAGATTTTCATCAGAAATTCGCGAAAAAAAATTGAAATGTATTTTTTAACACCCATTTTATAATAGACATAAAAATATATAAAAACTTACTTTTGTCAAAACTTGGCGCGCAGCGTGTAGCCCTTCTAGTGGCGACGATTCTCACTTGTTTGTTGTTAATCCTGAAGCGTCGCGACGGCCGTGATAGTTGCTGGAAAAACAAATGGACTCGGCATACTTGACTCGTACTTGTACGAAATTTAAGTGCGAGGCACATGCGCAGAAAGAATTTTATAAAACGGAATGCATTAAATAAACACACAAATAAAAGTCAAAATTTCGGGAATTAAATTTTACTTATGGATCATATTTTCATTAATTTTTATTTCAAATTATGTTTATGCGCGATTAAATTTATGCTTAATTTTAGAAACCACTTTGAACGATATATTACAGTGCGTTTCATTTTGATTGGAGACGATTCGGTATTTATTTAAAAAGAAATCAATTTACAAAATTGTTTTTAGTTTGTAGTACTTAAAAACCCTACCTTTTGAAGAAAAAACATTGTCATATGTCATTTCCATGGCCTTCTACACATGAACTTTGTATAGTGTTCTTGAATGGTAATAAAGTTAAGTTAATAAGTTAAGTTTGACTGGTATCAAATATATTTTATTTTTTTAGCTCGATTCATGACTTAGGTATATAGATTTTCAAACATGTAACAAAATATTCACGATGTTATTTAAAATTTTAGCGTGTAAAGTAGAATTAAAGGCACGAGCGAATGTTAAATAACAAGTTTCTAGAGAAGATTATAAAACGAGTTGCATAATATACTTTTTCTACAACGAAGAGAAAAATTAAATAATTCAAAAATAAATAGACTCTGACATCTGTCAGACTCCTCTAACCTAACTTTTTAGTCGATTTATTTTAAGGGGTTGTAAGACATTTGACAACTGCAACTAACTTGAGTCACTTGGCCTCATGAAACTTTTTCCCAATTTTAATTTAAAGCTGACTTCAGCCCGTGGGATTAATATTTTTTCTTGTTTAAAAATACCTACAATTTTTATATAAAAAAAAACTTGGTAGGTATATGAGAATTTTTAAGATTTCTCTAAATTAAATTAGAGCACCTACAAATCCATAAATATATCCTTGTAGGTGCTTAGATAGGTTACAGTAAAATCGATAAAAACATTCAACTTAATTTAATCATATCAGGAAGAAACTGGACATCAATCTATCAACGTAATAGTCTCGTCAGTTTTTATTTGATAAGTAAGTATTTTTAGTAAGCACTAGTCCTGGGAAAACATGAAAATAATGATGTTGTTTACAAGAGGGAAACAAAAAAAGAAAAATAAGTTTCTTTGCATATTTCAATATTTCACTTATTTTTGAACGCATTCATGGAAAACCAATTAGGTACGCCGTTTTAATTAAGTAATTAAAAAATAATTTCATTATAGGGATCATATGACAAGGGCAACATGGAAATACACTTTTAATAACTGCCAATAAATTTGTTAATTTGCAGGATACGTTCTTTTATATGGGTTTTATAAAAGCCATAAGGAAATTAAATCATTTACCAAAAACATTAAACATAAGTTATTTCTTTATATTAATATATTTTCTTATTGTTTTCAGTAAAAATTTGTTTACATTAAACGTTGTTTGAATAAACACCAAACTCAATGCTGCTTTAAAATGGTATTTTTTATAATTTATAATATAATAGTATTAGGAAAAGTAAGTCTTCTTGTGCAAAAGATTTTGCGCCGAGGCAAAGCAATTGAGCGAAGCACAAAAATACCATTTCCTCCAAATAACAAAACTAAAAAACATTATCTTAATATGAATCACAGTCTTTCAATGACAGATGATATATCCAAAGATGATTTCTCCAAAGGCATATATGTATGCCTTAGTGGCGGATTGTGGATTTTGGGTACACCGATATCTCAGTTAGTAGACATCGGACCCACACCAAACTTATATGAGTTTATATTGACATTAAATAGACAAGTTCTGCGCAAGCAGAATTTAAATTGAAGTTTTTGAAAAAAAGTTAGTTTTTCTGCGCGCCTCACCAGCCACCTGCCACCCCTAATTAAGATTATTTAAATTAAAGTGGTGCAATTCATAATTCACTCGTTTATAAACGAGTGAATTATATATATTATATATATCGACAAATTTTAAAATTTGTTTTAAAAATCCAATCTAATTTTTTTTTAAAAGAAAAATAAAAATTTAAACACTAGTCACCCAAGCGCCTTCTCGAATATTCCAGCGAGATCTGGACCGCTCTCGATCGCTCGAGCGCTGACTCACCGGCGATGAGTCATCATTCCGAGATTCAGAGGGGTAAGTACTTGCTACAATAGTTTTTGTTACTTTATTCTTCATAAAGCGTATTAAATATGTTTTACTCTATTGACGCTATATTGTTGTAGCCAGGATCCTTTGATTTAAAAAGCTATATACAAAACAAAATAATTAATTTCTTTTCACACAGGCCTGTCACTTTTCACACAGAAATTTCACTTTACGTTTGGGGTTTGCAAAACCATGGCCTTGCCAATGAAAGGATTCATTTTTTAAGCAACAATGCCATTACGAAATGTGACTTTTACGTGGTGGTCGTAGAAAAAAACATTAATGTTTTAACAGCTTTAGCCGGTAATGATCTAGCATTATTTTATTGCTTCCTCCTCCATGTAAGGCAATAAGAATTCTTATTGCCTTACATGGAGGAGAAAGCAATAAAATATTGCTAGATCATTTCCGGCTAAAGCTGTTCTCGTGTACGAATGGTGAAAATTAAATCCAATCTCGCTAATTTGCCACCTACACAATCACCGGCTAAATCGATTATTGATTAATCGATTTTTTAATTAATCGATTATTGATTAATCGATTATTATTTAATCGGTTATTTGATTAATCGATTATTTGATTAATCAATTAAATTATTAATTGAATTGTTTTTTAATACTTATGACCTATATTATGCAATACAAGTTTAAAATTTTTAGCAGCATTTTTTAAACCCGGCATAAATTATAAACATGTTTTTTTGAAAAATAACTATTTTTATTTTGTTTAGTTAAAAAAATTGGTCATATTATTTTTATTTACATATTTGATTGCTATAATTATAACAATTAATTAATTATAATAATTATTACGTTTTCATAATTAGGTATGACAATTAAACATTGGGCATAATGAATAAGTGTACGTATACGTACGTATACTTACGTACGTACGTATACTACTAATATTCTTTATTTAAAATAGTAATAACTATTATTAAACTACTCAAAACGAATTAAGGACCACTTTTAAACTTGTTTATAACTTTTAATCAAAAACTTTTTTTTACATTCTGTAACTGCTGTTAGTTCTGAAAAACATTAGGGTTTTAAATGGAGTATATATTTTATAAATCAAATAAAAAATAAACGCTTGGAAAATAAAACTTTAATTTTTCACAAATGTTTTTTTTTAAATAAACTATAAATAATATTTTCAACAAAATAAGTAATGTGTGTGTCTTCCTCTGGCTAGCCGAACTTCTTCACATCGTCTAGGCATCGATCCCACTAAATTTCTGATTACTTCTCTGGGAATATTGTTCCATTCCTCTTGAAGCATTTCTCCAAGCTGTTACAAATTTTCTGGTGCCGGACGATCCCTTATCCTTCTCTGAAGAACATCCCAGAGATGCTCAATAGGATTTAGATCCGGGGAGTTTGCGGGCCACTCTAAAACCTCGATATTATTCTCCTCAAGATATTGTGTGACAATACGAGCAGTGTGGGGCCTCGCATTGTCATGCTGTAGAATAAACTGTGGACCTTCTTCTGCGGCAAATGGGACTATATAGGGTTCTACAATATCTTCCAAATACCTATGAGCATTTACCATGCAAACCTGTACGCCCCGTTAAAGTTATACCTCCCCAGACCATAAGTGAGCCACCTCCAAAGTGAACAGTTTCTGTTACAGTTGAATCTAAATAACGCTCACCTCTACGCCTCCATGCTCGTACACGTGCATAGTTGTGGCTAAGTCGAAATCTAGACTCATCTGAAAAGAGCACGTGTCCCCACTGATCCATATCCCAATTGATATAATTTCGAAAAAAGTTAATCGAGCTCTTCGGTGCGCACGGGTTAACTGGGGCCTAACAGCTCGGACTCTGGAACGTAGATGGGCTTCATGAAGTCTATTTCTAACTGTCTGAGTGGATATTCGCCTTGCGCTGGCGTCAAAATGTAAATCAGCAATGTTTCTTGCTGTTCTGGCTCGGTTTTGGGTGGCTAACCTTACCAAATTACGGTCCTCACGTGGGTTTGTGACTCGTTCTCTTGCCGGATAAGGTCTTCTAGTGATAAAACCAAATTCTCTATGTCTGTTAAGAAGTCTAGAAATTACCGAATGACTTGTTTGAAGTCTTCGGGCAATACTTCTAACCGAATGTCCTTCTTGAAATAAAGTAACTGCTGTCACTACTATTTAAATGCCTCCTTTGATGAAAAGGCCTTCCTAGAGCATCAACATTCATTTTAATTAATTATTAAACTTATCACAATGCACAACAACGACTAAAATGACTTACAATAAATGTTAAAATGCACTGTTTTTTAAACAAATCGCATTTCTACAAAAAGTTATGAAAACAAAAAGAGTTTGTTTACATAAAATAAATTATACATAATATGAGTACAAGCCTATAAAAATATACGAGGATTGCTTAAAAGTTAAAAAAGATACATGTATTTTAAAAAGTGGTCCTTAATTCGTTTTGAGTAGTTTATAATAATAAAATAATCAAATAATCGATTAATCAATAATCGATTATTATAAAAAAAATAATCGGCGGTTTGATAATTGATTAATCGATTATTTTGCCCACCCCTATAGTAACTACTGTTTTTTTTATAATGCAGTTTATCTCTTAGAGAGAAATTCTCTATCGTGTTTAGTATTTAAGAAAAAAATACAATGTGTTTATTCGTTCGCCCCTGAAAAAAATATATTTGTATAATTATAATTTAACTACACTATATAGTGACTATAGTCACGAGCAGATAAACAAATGTAATTTTTGTATGAAAATTAAGTAAGAGAGAAAAATGCAGGAGACAAAAAACTTGTATTTTTAATTTCTTAATCTATAG